CTGCCGTCAGCTCTGAGCACATGGTAGGAGGGGGATAAAAACCCCACCCCAAAGAATCAAAGCATCTCTTTGCTGCTTGGACTCTGGGGGCAAGGTTTTCTAGGCATAAGCAAGGGATCCTTGTGCCCTGACACTCCATATTCATCATCGTAATATTATTATGATATGATTATGGAATAATTATGATGCATTTTTTACAAGATGGGTCCTGTCAGGTGTCATTGGAAAAGTGATGATTTGCTGAATATGGCCAGTCTTCTATGGATTATTGTGCATGGATCATTTTTGCATCTAAAGTTATGAATACTGACCATGTATCCACAGTATGCATCCGATGCAGTGAGCTGTAGCTCACGAAAGCTTGTGCTCAAATAAATTGGTAAGTCTCTAAGGTGCCACAAGTCCTCCTTTTCTTTTTGCGAATACAGACTAACACGGCTGCTACTCTGAAACCTGACCATGTATCTGTATTTCAAATGTAGTTACACCTGGGTAACGCCCACTAGGGAAAATGCTTCCAGCCTAGACAGCAGGTGGGGAAGGGCCTATGCAAGGGAATGGGCCATTTGGGAAAACAATAGGCCTTTGGAGAAGCTCATCCCCCACCCAGTGAGTCTTCCTGAGAATGCTCCAGACAGGCTGCTCTGGCTCTGCAAGGGCATGTGACCAGACCACATGACTCTGGACTCCATTTTGGGTACCTGTATTTTTCCACAAGCTGGGCTGGGAGCTGGTTTCGGAACAAGAGGTCCCGCCATATGCTAAAGCGATATAAAGCAGGGAGTGACCTCATCTGGGGTTCTTCAGTCCCCCACAACTGAACACCTAAGGGGAGCTCCAAAAGAAAAGGACTTGGAACAGGGTGGGGAGCCCAGGCTGCAAAGCCAGTGCAGTTGTGTTGTGCCTTGAGAATCTGCAAGCCTGCTTGTATCATCCGTCAGGGTGAGAGATTGTTCATTCAAATCCTATCCTAGTACGTTAAGGTTAGTTTGCGTTGTTCTTTATTTGCTAGGTAATCTGCTTTGATCTGTTTGCTTGCCCTTATAATAATTTAAAACCTGTCTTTCGGAGTTAATAAAAGTGTTGTTTTGCTTTATCTAACAGCAGTGTGCTTTTGACGGAAGTGCCTGGAGAAAATCTCAGCTTGGTTTAACGCACGCAGGTTGGCATCTTCCTTCCCGCATCCAGGGGAGGGTGAACTTTATGCGCTTCCATTGTACAGACCCTTGTGCAGTGCAAGATGGTTCCCTTTGGGGTTTGGGCTCCCGAGGCGGGTGCGTGCCGGGGAGTGGCGAAATTGGCTGGTGTCTGCTGGTTGCGCTCAGGGAGCCCAGTGTGGGTGAGTGGCGCCACCTCCTGTCATTGTGGGTAGTAACAGGGCCTGGGTGAGGCTGGCTGTGGCCCCAACTCAGTTGTGTGTCTTAGAGGGGCACCGAGGTTTCTCAGGGCTCCCAGACTGCACCCCAGGGGTGACAACCCATCACAATCCCCAGAGTTTAGCCTGGGCTAGCCCTGAAGGACACACAGAGGTTGCTGATTACAGACACTTCTGTTATCTTTTGGAACCTAAAATTATAACCCATTTGAGTTTTGATGGTCACCTGCTTTAAGCTTGTAAATAACTCTCCAGTTTCCTCTTCCTAGTAATAAATCTGTATCTAGTTCATTACAGGACTGGCTATGAGCCTTGTCTCTGGTGTGAGATCTGAGGTGCAATCGACCTGGGGAAAGTGACTGGTCCTTTGGACTGGGAGTAAGTGGAACGTTGCTGTGAGCCTTGGTGCAAGGGAGCAGTTGTCACACAGGCAGGCTCAGCTGGGCGGCCAGACCCATCCGAGCGCCCAAGGGGACGTCTGCGACTCCATGGTTGGGCTGTTACGGTGCCTGAGGAGTTTACACTTATAGATTCATAGACTCATAGATACTAAGGTCAGAAGAGACCATTATGATCATCTAGTCCGACCCCCTGCACAACGCAGGCCACAGAATCTCACCCACCCACTCCTGCGAAAAACCTCTCACCTATGTCTGAGCTATTGAAGTCCTCAAGTCATGGTTTAAAGACTTCAAGGAGCAGAGAATCCTCCAGCAAGTGACCCGTGCCCCATGCTACAGAGGAAGGCGAAAACCTCCAGGGCCTCTTCCAATCTGCCCTGGAGGAAAATTCCTTCCCGACCCCCAATATGGCGATCAGCTGAACCCTGAGCATGTGGGCAAGACTCACCAGCCAGATACCCAGGAAAGAATTTTCTGTAGTAACTCAGATCCCACCCCACCTACTCAGATCCCATCCCATCACAGGCCATTGGGCCTATTTACCATGAATATTTAAAGATCAATTAATTACCTGGTTGGTGAAATCTGAGCACAGAACTCACAGCCAATGTGGAGTTTGTGCCCTGGTTCCCAACAGCCTGTCCTGAGGCTGGTTCTCACATCTTGAGTCACTGCAAGCTGCCTTGCAGTCTGCCGTGTGGGAGGGTCTATGGGTGTGGATGTGGTGGTGTGGGTATGTGGGGTAGGGTTGGGTGGCTGTGGTTCTGGGTTGGATGTGGGGATGTGTGTGACTATGTAGCTCTGGAACGTTGGATGTATGTGGTTGTGGGTCTGGGGGATACGTGGGTGTGATTGGTTGAGTATAGTTGGTTGTGGGGGGCTGGTTGTGGTTTGGCGTGGGTGTGGTTGGTTCATTCTGAGTGTGTATGTGGGTGTGGCTGGGTGGTGGTGGATGTGATTGGGGGATCAGGGTTGGTTGTAAGTGTTGTGGGTGTGGTTGGTTGTGTGTGGTGGTGGACATCGGTAGGTGGGTGTGATTGGTTGGTGATGGGTGTGGTTGTGGGGTCCGGTTGGTAGTAGGTGTGGCTGGTTGGGGGTAGGGGTGAGTAGGTGAGTCTGGTTGGTTGGTGGTGGGTGTGGTTGCGGGGTCAGGGTCGGTTGCAGGTGTGGGTGGTTGGATGTGTTGGAGGGTGCGGTTGGTTGGTGGTAGGTGTGGTTGCGGGTTAGGGTCGGTTGTAGGTGTGGGTGGTTGGATGTGTTCGAGGGTGCGGTTGGTTGGTGGTAGGGGTGGTTGCGGGTCAGGGTCGGTTGTAGGTGTGGGTGGTTGGATGTGTTGGAGGGTGCGGTTGGTTGGTGGTGGGGGTGGTTGCAGGTCAGGGTCGGTTGCAGGTGTGGGTGGTTGGATGTGTTGGAGGGTGCGGATGGTTGGTGGTGGGGGTGGTTGCAGGTCAGGGTCGGTTGTAGGTGTGGGTGGTTGGATGTGTTGGAGGGTGCGGTTGGTTGGTGGTGGGGGTGGTTGCGGGTCAGGGTCGGTTGTAGGTGTGGGTGGTTGGATGTGTTGGAGGGTGCGGTTGGTTGGTGCTAGGGGTGGTTGCGGGGTCAGGGTCGGTTGTAGGTGTGGGTGGTTGGATGTGTTGGAGGGTGCGGTTGGTTGGTGGTAGGTGCGGTTGCGGGTCAGGGTCGGTTGTAGGTGTGGGTGGTTGGATGTGTTGGAGGGTGCGGTTGGTTGGTGGTAGGTGTGGTTGCAGGTCAGGGTCGGTTGTAGGTGTGGGTGGTTGGATGTGTTGGAGGGTGCGGTTGGTTGGTGGTAGGTGCGGTTGCGGGTCAGGGTCGATTGCAGGTGTGGGTGGTTGGATGTGTTGGAGGGTGCGGTTGGTTGGTGGTAGGTGCGGTTGCGGGGTCAGGGTCGGTTGTAGGTGTGGGTGGTTGGATGTGTTGGAGGGTGCGGTTGGTTGGTGGTAGGTGTGGTTGCGGGTCAGGGTCGGTTGTAGGTGTGGGTGGTTGGATGTGTTGGAGGGTGCGGTTGGTTGGTGGTGGGGGTGGTTGCAGGTCAGGGTCGGTTGCAGGTGTGGGTGGTTGGATGTGTTGGAGGGTGCGGTTGGTTGGTGCTAGGGGTGGTTCCAGGTCAGGGTCGGTTGTAGGTGTGGGTGGTTGGATGTGTTGGAGGGTGCGGTTGGTTGGTGGTAGGTGTGGTTGCGGGTCAGGGTCGGTTGCAGGTGTGGGTGGTTGGATGTGTTGGAGGGTGCGGTTGGTTGGTGGTAGGTGTGGTTGCGGGTTAGGGTCGGTTGTAGGTGTGGGTGGTTGGATGTGTTGGAGGGTGCGGTTGGTTGGTGGTAGGGGTGGTTGCAGGTCAGGGTCGGTTGTAGGTGTGGGTGGTTGGATGTGTTGGAGGGTGAGGTTGGTTGGTGGTAGGTGCGGTTGCGGGGTCAGGGTCGGTTGTAGGTGTGGGTGGTTGGATGTGTTGGAGGGTGTGGTTGGTTGGTGGTAGGTGTGGTTGCGGGGTCAGGGTCGGTTGTAGGTGTGGGTGGTTGGATGTGTTGGAGGGTGCGGTTGGTTGGTGGTAGGGGTGGTTGCGGGTCAGGGTCGGTTGTAGGTGTGGGTGGTTGGATGTGTTGGAGGGTGCGGTTGGTTGGTGGTAGGTGCGGTTGCGGGTCAGGGTCGGTTGTAGGTGTGGGTGGTTGGATGTGTTGGAGGGTGCGGTTGGTTGGTGGTAGGGGTGGTTCCAGGTCAGGGTCGGTTGTAGGTGTGGGTGGTTGGATGTGTTGGAGGGTGCGGTTGGTTGGTGGTAGGGGTGGTTGCAGGTCAGGGTCGGTTGCAGGTGTGGGTGGTTGGATGTGTTGGAGGGTGCGGTTGGTTGGTGGTAGGGGTGGTTGCAGGTGTGACGAAGTGGGACTGTTCTTAATGTTTCCTCTGAATAGTGTGGGGGTGCCTCAGTTTCCCCTAGGCAGTTCTTAAGTATCTAGGGGGTGGAGTAAGGGTGTATGATCATTGCAGAGCCCTAGAGGGCAGGTGTGTGCAGGAGTCTGGACACAGAGAATGGCCGACACCCTGTTTCCTGGCAACTGATGGCCTGGGCCCTTCCCCCCCTGCAAGGTGAGAGCTAAAGGGTTGGAGAACAAAGGAATCAGGTGACCACCTGGCCCGGGAAAGGGACAAAGCCCAGAGGAGGAGGAGGAGGGGCTGGAGGGTGAGTCAGTTTGGGGCTGGCTGGGACATGGAGTGAGGTGCAGACGTGGTTGTCTGGCTCACTGCCCCCCAGAATGGACCCAGCTGAGGGGTCCCGTTCTCTGCACCTGCAAGCTCTGTTTTAGACCATGTTCCTGTCGTCTAATAAACCTTCTGTTTTACTGGCTGGCTGAGAGTCACGTCTGACTGCGGAGTTGGGGGGCAGGACCCTCTGGCTTCCCCAGGAGCCCCGCCTGAGCGGACTCGCTGGGGGGAAGCGCCCGGAGGGGCAGAGGATGCTGAATGCTCTGAGGTCAGACCCAGAAAGGGGGAAGCCGGGTGAGCTGTGTGTCCTGAAGACAGGCTGCTCACAGAAAGGCGACTGCCCCAGAGTCCTGACTGGCTTCATGGGGAGCAGTTCCAGAGCATCGCCCAGGGACGCCGTGACAGCAGGTCAGGGTCGGTTGTAGGTGTGGGTGGTTGGATGTGTTGGAGGGTGCGGTTGGTTGGTGGTAGGGGTGGTTGCGGGTCAGGGTCGGTTGCAGGTGTGGGTTGTTGGATGTGTTGGAGGGTGCGGTTGGTTCGTGGTAGGGGTGGTTGCGGGTCAGGGTCGGTTGTAGGTGTGGGTGGTTGGATGTGTTGGAGGGTGCGGTTGGTTGGTGGTAGGGGTGGTTGCGGGTTCAGGGTCGGTTGCAGGTGTGGGTGGTTGGATGTGTTGGAGGGTGCGGTTGGTTGGTGGTAGGGGTGGTTCCAGGTCAGGGTCGGTTGTAGGTGTGGGTGGTAGGATGTGTTGGAGGGTGCGGTTGGTTGGTGCTAGGGGTGGTTGCGGGTCAGGGTCGGTTGCAGGTGTGGGTGGTTGGATGTGTTGGAGGGTGCGGTTGGTTGGTGGTAGGGGTGGTTGCGGGTCAGGGTCGGTTGTAGGTGTGGGTGGTTGGATGTGTTGGAGGGTGCGGTTGGTTGGTGGTAGGGGTGGTTGCGGGTCAGGGTCGGTTGTAGGTGTGGGTGGTTGGATGTGTTGGAGGGTGCGGATGGTTGGTGGTGGGGGTGGTTCCAGGTCAGGGTCGGTTGTAGGTGTGGGTGGTTGGATGTGTTGGAGGGTGCGGTTGGTTGGTGCTAGGGGTGGTTGCGGGTCAGGGTCGGTTGTAGGTGTGGGTGGTTGGATGTGTTGGAGGGTGCGGATGGTTGGTGGTGGGGGTGGTTCCAGGTCAGGGTCGGTTGTAGGTGTGGGTGGTTGGATGTGTTGGAGGGTGCGGTTGGTTGGTGGTAGGGGTGGTTGGGGGGGGGGTGCTGGAGGGGCGGTTGGTTGGTGCTGGGGTGGGTCAGGGTCGGTTGCAGGTGTGGGTGGTTGGATGTGTTGGAGGGTGTGGTTGGTTGGTGGTAGGTGTGGTTGCGGGGTCAGGGTCGGTTGTAGGTGTGGGTGGTTGGATGTGTTGGAGGGTGCGGTTGGTTGGTGCTAGGGGTGGTTGGGGGGTCGGTTGGGGGGGTCAGGGTCGGTTGTAGGTGTGGGTGGTTGGATGTGTTGGAGGGTGCGGTTGGTTGGTGGTAGGGGTGGTTGCGGGGTCAGGGTCGGTTGTAGGTGTGGGTGGTTGGATGTGTTGGAGGGTGCGGTTGGTTGGTGGTGGGGGTGGTTAGGTCAGGGTCGGTTGAGGTGGGGTGGTTGGATGTGTTGGAGGGTGCGGTTGGTTGGTGGTAGGTGTGGTTGCGGGTCAGGGTCGGTTGTAGGTGTGGGTGGTTGGATGTGTTGGAGGGGGGGGGGGGGGTAGGTGTTGGTGGTTGGATGTGTTGGAGGGTGCGGTTGGTTGGTGGTAGGTGGGTGGTTGCGGGTCAGGGTCGGTTGTAGGTGTGGGTGGTTGGATGTGTTGGAGGGTGCGGATGGTTGGTGGTGGGGGTGGTTCCAGGTCAGGGTCGGTTGTAGGTGTGGGTGGTTGGATGTGTTGGAGGGTGCGGTTGGTTGGTGGTAGGTGTGGTTGCGGGTCAGGGTCGGTTGTAGGTGTGGGTGGTTGGATGTGTTGGAGGGTGCGGTTGGTTGGTGCTAGGGGTGGTTGCGGGTCAGGGTCGGTTGTAGGTGTGGGTGGTTGGATGTGTTGGAGGGTGCGGTTGGTTGGTGGTAGGTGTGGTTGCGGGTCAGGGTCGGTTGTAGGTGTGGGTGGTTGGATGTGTTGGAGGGTGCGGTTGGTTGGTGGTGGGGGTGGTTGGTGGGGGGGGGGGTGGGTGGTTGGATGTGTTGGAGGGTGGGTTGGTTGGGAGGGGGGGGGGGGGTGTTGGAGGGTGCGGTTGGTTGGTTGGTAGGGGTGGTTGCGGGTCAGGGTCGGGTTGCAGGTGTGGGTGGTTGGATGTGTTGGAGGGTGCGGATGGTTGGTGGTGGGGGTGGTTCCAGGTCAGGGTCGGTTGTAGGTGTGGGTGGTTGGATGTGTTGGGGGGTGTGGTTGGTTGGTGGTGGGGGTGGTTGGGGCCAGGGTCAGGGTCGGTTGCAGGTGTGGGTGGTTGGATGTGTTGGAGGGTGCGGTTGGTTGGTGGTAGGGGTGGTTGCGGGTCAGGGTCGGTTGTAGGTGTGGGTGGTTGGATGTGTTGGAGGGTGCGGTTGGTTGGTGGTAGGGGTGGTTGCGGGTCAGGGTCGGTTGCAGGTGTGGGTGGTTGGATGTGTTGGAGGGTGCGGTTGGTTGGTGGTAGGGGTGGTTCCTGGTCAGGGTCGGTTGTAGGTGTGGGTGGTTGGATGTGTTGGAGGGTGCGGTTGGTTGGTGCTAGGGGTGGTTGCGGGTCAGGGTCGGTTGTAGGTGTGGGTGGTTGGATGTGTTGGAGGGTGCGGTTGGTTGGTGGTAGGGGTGGTTGCGGGTCAGGGTCGGTTGTAGGTGTGGGTGGTTGGTGGTTGGGGGGGGGGAGTGGTTGGTGGTGGGGGGTGGTTCCAGGTCAGGGTCGGTTGTAGGTGTGGGTGGTTGGATGTGTTGGAGGGTGCGGTTGGTTGGTGGTGGGGGTGGTTCAGGTCAGGGTCGGTTGCAGGTGTGGGTGGTTGGATGTGTTGGAGGGTGCGGTTGGTTGGTGCTAGGGGTGGTTGCGGGTCAGGGTCGGTTGTAGGTGTGGGTGGTTGGATGTGTTGGAGGGTGCGGATGGTTGGTGGTGGGGGTGGTTCCAGGTCAGGGTCGGTTGTAGGTGTGGGTGGTTGGATGTGTTGGAGGGTGCGGTTGGTTGGTGGTAGGGGTGGTTGCGGGTCAGGGTCGGTTGTAGGTGTGGGTGGTTGGATGTGTTGGAGGGTGCGGTTGGTTGGTGGTAGGGGTGGTTGCGGGTCAGGGTCGGTTGTAGGTGTGGGTGGTTGGATGTGTTGGAGGGTGCGGTTGGTTGGTGGTAGGGGTGGTTGCAGGTCAGGGTCGGTTGTAGGTGTGGGTGGTTGGATGTGTTGGAGGGTGCGGTTGGTTGGTGGTAGGGGTGGGTGGTTGGTGTGGGGGGGGGTTGCGGGTTCAGGGTCGGTTGCAGGTGTGGGTGGTTGGATGTGTTGGAGGGTGCGGTTGGTTGGTGGTAGGGGTGGTTGCAGGTCAGGGTCGGTTGTAGGTGTGGGTGGTTGGATGTGTTGGAGGGTGCGGTTGGTTGGTGGTAGGGGTGGTTGCGGGTCAGGGTCGGTTGTAGGTGTGGGTGGTTGGATGTGTTGGAGGGTGCGGATGGTTGGTGGTAGGGGTGGTTCCAGGTCAGGGTCGGTTGTAGGTGTGGGTGGTTGGATGTGTTGGAGGGTGCGGTTGGTTGGTGGTAGGGGTGGTTGCGGGTCAGGGTCGGTTGTAGGTGTGGGTGGTTGGATGTGTTGGAGGGTGCGGATGGTTGGTGGTGGGGGTGGTTCCAGGTCAGGGTCGGTTGTAGGTGTGGGTGGTTGGATGTGTTGGAGGGTGCGGTTGGTTGGTGGTAGGTGTGGTTGCGGGTCAGGGTCGGTTGTAGGTGTGGGTGGTTGGATGTGTTGGAGGGTGCGGTTGGTTGGTGCTAGGGGTGGTTGCGGGTCAGGGTCGGTTGCAGGTGTGGGTGGTTGGATGTGTTGGAGGGTGCGGTTGGTTGGTGGTAGGTGTGGTTGCGGGGTCAGGGTCGGTTGTAGGTGTGGGTGGTTGGATGTGTTGGAGGGTGCGGTTGGTTGGTGCTAGGGGTGGTTGCGGGTCAGGGTCGGTTGCAGGTGTGGGTGGTTGGATGTGTTGGAGGGTGCGGTTGGTTGGTGGTAGGTGTGGTTGCGGGGTCAGGGTCGGTTGTAGGTGTGGGTGGTTGGATGTGTTGGAGGGTGCGGTTGGTTGGTGGTAGGTGTGGTTGCGGGTCAGGGTCGGTTGTAGGTGTGGGTGGTTGGATGTGTTGGAGGGTGCGGTTGGTTGGTGGTAGGGGTGGTTGCAGGTCAGGGTCGGTTGTAGGTGTGGGTGGTTGGATGTGTTGGAGGGTGCGGTTGGTTGGTGGTAGGGGTGGTTGGGGTCGGGTCAGGGTCCGTTGTAGGTGTGGGTGGTTGGATGTGTTGGAGGGTGCGGATGGTTGGTGGTGGGGGTGGTTCCAGGTCAGGGTCGGTTGTAGGTGTGGGTGGTTGGATGTGTTGGAGGGTGCGGTTGGTTGGTGGTAGGGGTGGTTGCGGGTCAGGGTCGGTTGTAGGTGTGGGTGGTTGGATGTGTTGGAGGGTGCGGTTGGTTGGTGGTAGGGGTGGTTGCGGGTCAGGGTCGGTTGAGGTGTGGGTGGTGGTGGATGTGTTGGAGGGTGCGGTTGGTTGGGGGTGGGGTGGTTGCGGGTCAGGGTCGGTTGTAGGTGTGGGTGGTTGGATGTGTTGGAGGGTGCGGTTGGTTGGTGGTAGGGGTGGTTGCGGGGTCAGGGTCGGTTGCAGGTGTGGTTGGTTGGATGTGTTGGAGGGTGCGGTTGGTTGGTGGTAGGGGTGGTTCCTGGTCAGGGTCGGTTGTAGGTGTGGGTGGTTGGATGTGTTGGAGGGTGCGGTTGTTTGGTGCTAGGGGTGGTTGCGGGTCAGGGTCGGTTGCAGGTGTGGGTGGTTGGATGTGTTGGAGGGTGCGGATGGTTGGTGGTGGGGGTGATTCCAGGTCAGGGTCGGTTGTAGGTGTGGGTGGTTGGATGTGTTGGAGGGTGCGGTTGGTTGGTGCTAGGGGTGGTTGCGGGTCAGGGTCGGTTGTAGGTGTGGGTGGTTGGATGTGTTGGAGGGTGCGGATGGTTGGTGGTGGGGGTGGTTCCAGGTCAGGGTCGGTTGTAGGTGTGGGTGGTTGGATGTGTTGGAGGGTGCGGTTGGTTGGTGGTAGGTGTGGTTGCGGGTCAGGGTCGGTTGCAGGTGTGGGTGGTTGGATGTGTTGGAGGGTGCGGTTGGTT